TGGAAGTGTGCCAATAAGTGGTCTTCTACTGCCCTCTGCTGGCCACTTTTCTTATTAATAGTCTTTTCACTTGCTATATTGTGGTAAACCATCCTATAACATGGTATATCAAGGTAAACTATGGAAAATCATGTTAGATTCATGGTAAATCATACTAGAACATGGTAAATCATGAAAAATAACATTGAAATATGGTTTATCATGGTAAATAATGCTTGCTACATAAAACTTAATGTCTTTTGATGCTTTTGTGCTTAAAGGCCTTAAAGGCCTAAACTGCTTGAACCCCGCAAAATGCTGCTTGCAGCTTTAATTATTATTATTATTATTATTATTCTGCCGTAAAACGCATCGTGCAGACCAAACCGTAAGGGCTGGAGCTCTGAAACTTTGTCAGATGGTAGTACAAAAATCGAGGAGAGGTTATCAAATTATGAGCCCGATTGGCCCATAGGTGGCGCTATAGCGACCAATTGCGCGAAACTGCTCATAACTCCTAGACCGTAAGTCGTACACTCAAGTGTCTTATATCGTTGGAAAGCTGGTCACCTGACGAAAAAAACGTATATCTCCGATTTCATTTCCGCCATGATAGATTTTCCGCCATTTTGAATTTTGTCGAAAAACTACTTTTGCGAACTAGTCCCTGGATTTTTGCCCGATCGGAACCAAACCAGTGCAGAAATGTTCTCTGGAGTCTGAAGATCAATAATTATCAAAAAAATGTTGAAATTTCTCGTTCCGGTCGCTAGGGGAAGCAAAATAAACGTTGTGGGAGGAGCCTATTTTACTAAAATGGCTATAGCTCGAGAAGTAAATGAGATATCTTCACCAAACTCGGTACACATGTGTAAGAGTTCAATTTGAGGTGACAGTAAAAAAATCGCGACGATTGAACACTAGGTGGCGCTATAAAATGAAAAAAACAGATAAACACCTGACCGTCAGTCCGATTGACTTGAAAATTGGTATGCAGTGTCTTGGTCCAAGGCCTCATGTATGTGTATGAGGACATTGGTGTATCTCAAAAAACATGGCCGCCATCGGCCAATGAAGTTTGAGCATCTATGAAACAAGGTTAACGAAGGCCGATCGGAACGAAACTCGTTGGGAATGTTCGACTCATGGCCCTAGAGGTCTGTAAGAATTTTGAAAGAAATCGGCCACTAGTTGGCGCTAACGAGTTTTATTGCTCTGTAATCACGTGGTGTTGCACACACCCCCACAAAATGTATATCAATTGATAGATCTCCTCATGATGAACAACTTTGCCTCAAGAACCATTGCTGTCAATCAAATCGTTAGTTAAATATTCACGAATATGTTAAAAACCTACTTTTGCAAACTAGTCCCTGGTTTTTTGCTCGATCGGAACCAGACCAGTCTAGGATAATTCTTTGGACTCTCTAGATCAATAATTATCAAAAAAAAGTTGAACTTTGTCTTTTGTTTTGCTATAACAGGGTCATTTACAAAAGGGGACATGACAAAATGCACCCAAAAGCCTATAAATCCTAAAGGAAAAGTCAGAACTTCACAAAAATTGATGAGCACATGTGTCATAGCTTATTCAACAAGCATGCAAAGTTTCATGGAGATCGGACTATAGGTGGCGCTATAATTGTTAAAAATGTTAAAAACAATATATACCCTATGGTAAATTGCCATTATTGAAACTTAAAACTTAATGTCTTTTGATGCTTTTGTGCTTAAAGGCCTTCAAGGCCTAAACTGCTTGAACCCCGCTAAATGCTGCTTGCAGCTTTAATATTATTATTATTATTATTATTCTCCCCTAAAACGCATCGTGCAGCCCAAACCGTAAGTGCTGGAGCTCTGAAACTTTGTCAGATGGTAGTACAAAAATCGAGGAGAGGTTATCAAATTATGAGCCCGATTGGCCCATAGGTGGCGCTATAGCGACCAATTGCGCGAAACGGCTCATAACTCCTAGACCGTAAGTCGTACACTCAAGTGTCTTATATCATTGGAAAGCTGGTCACCTGACGAAAAAAATGTATATCTCCGATTTCATTTCCGGTATGGAAATTTTTCCGCCATTTTGAATTTTGTCGAAAAACTACTTTTGCGAACTAGTCCCTGGTTTTTTGCCCGATCGGAACCAAACCAGTGCAGAAATGTTCTCTGGAGTCTGAAGATCAGTAATTATCAAAAAAATGTTGAAATTTCTATTTCCGGTCGCTAGGGGAAGCAAAATAAACGTTGTGGGAGGAGCCTATTTTACTAAATTGGCTATAACTCAAGAAGTAAATGAGATATCTTCACCAAACTCGGTACACATGTGTACGAGTTCAATTTGAGGTCACAGTAAAAAAATAGCGACGATTGAACACTAGGTGGCGCTATAATATGAAAAAAACATAAAAAGGGCTATGACCACATGACCGTTAGTCCGATTGACTTGAAAATTGGTATGCAGTGTCTTGGACCAAGGCCCCATGTATATCTATGAGGACATTGGCGTATGTAAAAAAACATGGCCGCCATCGGCCAATGAAGTTTGAGCACCTGTGAGACAAGGTTAACGAAGGCCGATCGGAACGAAACTCGTTGGGCATGTTTGACTCATGCCCCTAGAGGTCTGTAAGAATTTTGAAAGAAATCGGCCACTAGTTGGCGCTAACGAGTTTTATGGCTCTGTTATCACGTGGTGTTGCACACACCCCCACAATATGTATATCAATTGATAGATCTCCTCATGCTGAACAACTTTGCCTCAAGAACCATTGCTGTCAATCAAATCGTTCGTTAAATATTCACGAATATGTTAAAAACGTACTTTTGCAAACTAGTCCCTGGTATTTTGCCGGATCGGAACCAGACCAGTCTAGGACAATTCTTTGGACACTCTAGATCAATAATTATCAAAAAAAGTTGAACTTTGTCATTTGTTTTGCTATAACAGGGTCATTTATAAAAGAGGGCATGACAAAATGCACCCAAAAGCCTATAAATCCTAAAGGAAAAGTCAGAACTTCACAAAAATTGATGAGCACATGTGTCATAACTTATTCAACAAGCATGCAAAGTTTCATGGAGATCGGACTATAGGTGGCGCTATAACTGTTAAAAATGTTAAAAACAATGTATTCCCTATGGTAAATTGCCATTATTGAAACTTAAACCTTACCCAGATAGCAAAATTGTTGTGGCCCAGATCCGGCCCACAGTTGACACTTTCATCTGGCCCACATACCGCGTGGAATGATGGCACTTGGGCGGACCGCTCCTGTTTGCCAGATTTGGGCCACAATTAAGCCATAGCAATGCCACATGTCAGCCATAAAAAAAATGAATGAAGCAGAACTGGCCCACATCTGGCCCACGCACCAAAATTGCTGTGGCCCAGATCCGGCCCACAGTTGAGACTTTCATCTGGCTCACATACCGCATGGAATGATGGCACTTGGGCGGTCCGCTCCTGTTTGCCAGATTTGGGCCACAATTAAGCCATAGCAATGCCGCATGTCAGCCATAAACAAAACAAATGAAGCCGAACTGGTCCACATGTGGGCCAGATGAAAGTGTCAACTGTGGGCCGGATCTGGGCCACAGCAATTTTGATGTCTGGGCCAGATTTGGGTCAGGTGTGCTTCATTCGTTTTTATTATGGCTGACATGCGGCATTGCTATGGCTTAATTGTGGCCCAAATCTGGCAAACAGGAGCGGACCGCCCAAGTGCCATCATTCCATGCGGTATGTGGGCCAGATGAAAGTGTCAACTGTGGGCCGGATCTGGGCCACAGCAATTTTTATATCTGGGCCAGATTTGGGCCAGTTCTGCTTCATTAAATTTTTTATGGCTGACATGCGGCATTGCTATGGCTTAATTGTGGCCCAAATCTGCCAAACAGGAGCGGACCGCCCAAGTGCCATCATTCCACGCGGTATGTGGGCCAGATGAAAGTGTCAACTGTGGGCCGGATCTGGGCCACAGCAATTTTGATGCATGGGCCAGATTTGGGCCAGTTCTGCTTCATTCGTTTTTTTTTTATGGCTGACATGCGGCATTGCTATGGCTTACTTGTGGCGCAAATCTGGCAAACAGGAGCGGGCCACCCGAGTGCCATCATTCCACGAGGTATGTGGGCCAGATGAAAGTGTCAACTGTGGGCCGGATCTGGGCCACAGCAATTTTGATGCATGGGCCAGATTTGGGCCAGTTCTGCTTCATTTTATTTGTTTCTGGCTGACATGCGGCATTGCTATGGCTTAATTGTAGCCCAAATCTGGCAATCAGGAGCGGACCACCCAAGTGCCATCATTCCATGCGGTATGTGGGCCAGATGAAAGTGTCAACTGTGGGCCGGATCTGGGCCACAGCAATTTTGATGTCTGGGCCAGATTTGGGCCAGTTCTGCTTCATTCGTTTTTTGTTTTTTTTATGGCTTAATTGTGACCCAAATCTTGCAAACAGGAGCGGGCCACCCAAGTGCCATTCCACATGGTAGGTGGGCCAGATGAAAGTGTCAATTGTGGGCCGGATCTGGGCCACAGCAATTGTGGTGTCTGGGCCAGATGGGGGCTTATTCTGCTTAATTTGTTTTGTTTATGGCTGGCATCCAGCATTGCTTTGGGCTAATTGTGGCCCAAATCTGGCAAACAAGAACGAACCATTCAAGTGCCATCATTACACATGCGGTATGTGGGCCAGATGAAAATTAATGCACTTAAGGCAGTCCCCTCCAGTTTGCCAGATTAGAGCCACAATTAAGCCATAGCAATGCCACATGTAACCAAAACACAAACCAAATACACAGCTGAACACAGTTGCAATCCTGTTTGCCAGATCTGGTCCACAAGCAGGAAATTTGTTCAGCCACATGTGTGTCAAGAATTACATAAATAGACTATAACTGTGTGTTTTTGTTTTTGCATGCTGTGACTGACACTAAGAAAAATATACACTAAAGAGAAATTTAAAAATGCCCCCTTTCTATGTTAAGAGAAGTTACAACAGATGATTTAAACACATTTCTGAAAACATTTGCATTATTTATTAATATTGTCAAAGAACAACCAAGTGCAAGTTTCAATTTTCAAAACTGGAAAGCAATCAAAAAAAATAGTAATAATAAACAAACACAAAATATGTGCATATAAAGCATCTTAGAGCTAAACAAAAAACAAAACATGTTTCCAGTTGGTCACATCCAGAGCCACCCAAAATTAAAGAAGTCGACCTCCTTGACTGGGCCCATCTGGCAATCTTGCAAGCCTTTATTGGATACACACACAAAAAAAAAAACAATTGTTGACTCAGTAACAGAATGCTGATTTTCAAAGTGTTTTACTAGCAATAGTAGAAAAATGGACTGGACCTATCAGTGCATTAAACAGTTTGGTAAATCTAAAGGGCTATTTATACTTCTTCGTCGAACTCATGCCATAGCTACGTTGTAGGCTGTGTGTAGCGCACGTACCCTTCGGCGTACCCTGACGTGCACCTCTCCAAAAATGTAACAACGTGTCAACTCTAAAGAAATGCAAGAGCTGTGATTTGTCTGCCAGGACTGCTACCTCGGATTTCACATGCTCCCTCTACAAGAGTAATTGCACGTCAACGCGGACAATGACGCTAAAGTATAAATGAAAACCAACGCGTTGCCTACAGCATAGAAGCTTCGGCGTAGGTCCGACGCAGAAGTATAATGAGGCCTCAAGGCTAGGGTTGGGTATCGTTTGAATTTGAACGATTCTGATTACGATTCCTTGTTTCGAATCCGGTTCCTAACGATTCTCGATTCTTTTAAGAGGCAGGGTCAAAAAAGTTGGATCGCCGACGTAAGGTACTCATGTTCGACTCGCGTGGTTATGCCAACACTTCCGGTAGACGCTTCTTCGTTGATGTTGTTCAGCGGTTTCTTCTTCCGCTCGGCGGACTGTGAATATCGAAAGTAGGAATCGAAATTTTAACTTTTGAACGATTCCGGGAAAAATGAAAAGTTAGTCTCGGTTCCAATCGATACTCGATTATCGATACCCAACCCTACTCAAGGCCTTAATTGTGAACATTAATTAATGTATTACTAGTATTAACTAACATGAAGTGCATTATTTATTAACCATTTTTTGGTAACACTTTACAATAAGTTCATTAGTTAATATTAGTTAACTACATTAGTTAACTAATGAACTAATGATGAACATCGCTTATACAGCATTTATTAATGTTTGTAAACGTTAATTTCAATTTTACTAATACTTTATTAAATCTTGTTAACATTAGTTAATGTGCTGTGAACTAACATGAACAAAGAATGAACAGCTTTATTTTTTATTAACTAACATCAACGAAGATTAACAAATACTGTTACAAATGTATTGCTCATGGTTAGTTCATGTTAGTTAATACATTAACTATTGTTAACTAATGAACCTTATTGTAAAGTGTTACCCCTTTTTTAATGTTTCAGTCATTCACTGTTGTTCATGTTAGTTCACAGTGCATTAACTAATGTTAACAATTACAACTTTTGATTTGTATAATTATATTATATTATATATAATTTTTTTACTGGACATTTTAAAGCTCATAACCATATTTATTGTTACTTAAACTTAGAGTTTAGTGTTATGTTGCATCATGCAGTATTTCTGCTGAAGAGTAAGAGTCAATGTCTGTTACCTCAATAAATGTTAAAAGGTCATTCCTATTTTATTTGTGTTACATTTTAATTATTAACATTACAAGCACCCTCTTTTTATGACTAAAATAACAGGAAGGGTAAAAAAAACTGAATCTCAAACATGGAAATGAAAAAAAAACGGAATTAGCAAAAATGAAAATGGAAAAAACAGAATTGGGAAAAAAATAAAACTAAAATATTCTAGGGCCATATCAAGTATTCAGACAGACCATGGTATTTATACACATGGCAAAAACACAATGTAGCTGACTTACAGGTGTCTTGGGACCTCCTTCGTTTCTTGCTTTCTCTTTCTCCCTCCGTCTCGGTCACTTGACAGATGAAGCCATTTTTTAATAAATGTTTCAATTTCTTGATCGGTGGCCGTAGCTGTCAGTCTATTGG